TTAAGGTATCGTGTGATAAATTGCACCATACTATCGACTGGTAACAACGACATACGAATGGTCGTAATAACGGAATGACGTTTGGCACCCACAGACCTGCAGGTCCGGCTGTAGCTAGCAGCAAGGTGTAGGATAGTCAATCCAGTATAGATCTATACGCAAACTCATGCTCTCCCTCCAAGAGAATTCTGGCTACAACTCAGGCCATGACAATTAAGGCATGCTCTGATACAGTGGATCACAATTTTTAACGAATTCTTATATATGTAATGAAATGAACTGTTCTAGTATAGTGGTATATGTTCCTCCTCTAGTATAGTTGTATATGTTCTCTGTCTAGTATAGTTGTATATGTTCTCTTTCTAGTATAATTGTATATGTTCTCTTTCTAGTATTTTTGTATAATTACTAGTAGTAATAAGTATTAACTCATGAATGAACTGACTCATTTATCTAGAAATTGTAGTAGTATGATCCTATGTTACCCCGATGGTAACTTACTGATGGTGTACTGATAATTATGAATATGGAAGTACTTTTATGTCTATATATGTATATTTAATATATAACTAATATTGAAACGACCTTCGGATGACTACCCGAAATCCCACCAGACCACATCTCAATGCGCGAAAAGGAAATAGGGTGGATAGCCTTCCTAAGCCCTTTAAACATTTCTTATATATCTATACATATATGGACATGCAATTTATAAGAAGTAAAACAAAGTTTAATAAAAGTATTTGATAAGTAAAAAGATTTTGTAAAACATTTTGAAGTGAAACAGTATGATAAACAGTTTGAACAGTGATAAAATCATTGGTTTTCTAGTTATTAATCACATGTGATTAATGTAATCACATGTGATTGATGTAATAACTGTAAGTGTTTAACATGTATCCCCCCCCCCCTCGTAAAGTATTTAAAACATTTAATATCATTTCAAAGGTTAATTTAAGGGGTATGAACTCACTTGCGGTGAGTGGATTGGATTGAAGTATCGGGTACCGTGCTAGGTGGCAAATGGAGACTTGTTCGCACGCACGAGCCTAGTTATCATATAATGAGCATATATATAGCTAATTAGCCATGTAATAACTTAACAAAATAAGTTGGGACACTTAGGAACATGTAAACACTTCGTATAAGTGTTATAGGTCCTAATGGTTGCATCTAAGTTGCTATGGGACAAGGTTAAAGGCGTGTAAAGCTTCCAAGGACCTTGTATAAGTTCTTACTACTTATTAAACTCTGCACAAGGAGTTTACGCTCATAAACCCTTGAGTTTACGGCGATGAACTCTTGTCTTGGTGGTTTTGGGTGTTTAAGTGTGCTAAATGAATTCTAGAATAAGCCTAGCATTGGTAGATTAATCCTTGAATTAGTTTAAGGCCCTAGAATGCTCCTTTGAGGAGTTTACAGCCAAAAGACCATATCCCCTAGAGTTTACGGCCATAAACTCCTATGGGGTGGGTGTTTTAATTCATTCAAGCCTCTTACACACAAAGGATAATTTCTAGACTTTTGTTTAAGGATAAAGGGGACTTTAGGCACACTTTTGTGCCTTTACTTGGAGTTTACGGCCCAAGAGTATTTCTTGGCTGTAAACTCCATTTTAGGGATGATTTTGATGTGTTTTAGTCTCCAAATTAGCTACAAGCATTAGAGGGTAATTGGCTTAAAGCCTTAGGGGTGTTTAGGGCACATTTTGTCCATTGAAATTGGAGTTTACGGCCTAAGACTTTCTTGGGTCGTGAACTCCTTAAACTATGTGTTCTTGATTGTGTTCTAGCCTCTAATGATCATATATAATGTCCTTAACTAGTTACCTAACAAGGAAATGGGACTTGATAGCTTTTAGGCTTTGTTTTGGAGTTTACTCCCCAAGAACGTTCTCGGGCGGTAAACTCCCGGATCATACAAATTTGTCATATAAACAATGTTATAGAGCATATAACAAGCATTAAAACACATTTAGGAAAGTAGACTCACGATTTGGGATGAAAACCCGAAGATCCGTGAGAGAGAAAGTGGTTTTTCTCTAGTTGGAAATGTGAATAATGAATGAATTTAGTTCAGAAATCTATTTATAGTCCTGAAATATTTTGACAAAAAATATTTTTATTCTGGTAATGATTTCTAATATATCCGAGTGTTGGAATAACAGGGTTGCACAAAACCGTAGCGCATCCACTCTCCTGGTTTTTACTGAAGTGAAAACCCTAAATTACTCCAACTTATACGAAAAGTCTGAAAATCGACTATGACTGTTATAACTTCTATTGAAGTGATACTGTTTGTATAGAATGGAAATTTCGGGTTGTCACATCGTCTCCCCGTTAGAAGGAATTTCGTCCCGAAATTAGAATTTAAGCAAATAAGAAGTTACAAATAACTAAGCGAAAAGATGAGGGTATTTGAGTTTCATTTGATCCTCGCGTTCCCAAGTGAATTCCGGTCCTCGCTTGGTGTTCCAGCGAACCTTCACAATCGGGATACGGCTTTGTTTCGTCTGCTTGACCTCACGGTCCATGATCTCTACAGGTTCTTCCACGAAGTTGAGGCTCTCGTTGATCTCGATCTCATCGAGTGGGATTACGAGAGTCTCGTCGGATAAACACTTTTTCAAGTTAGATACGTGGAATGTAGAGTCTACGTTACGAAGTGTGTCAGGTAGATCGAGTTTGTAAGCTACGGGGCCGACTCTTGTGAGAATCTCGAATGGCCCTATGTACCTCGGATTAAGCTTCCCATGCTTACCGAAATGTATCAAGCCCTTCCAGGGTGAGACTTTGAGAAGGACTCGGTCTCCCACCTGAAATTCCAAAGGTTTTCTTCGCTTATCAGCGTAGCTCTTCTATCGGTCTCTAGAGGCTTTCAATCGTTCACGGATCTGAACGATTTTCTCTGTCGTTTCCCGAATGATCTCCGGACTGGTGAGAGTACTTTCGGAAGCTTGCCCCCTGGCTAGTTGGGTATCACCCACCTCAGCCCAACATAGAGGGGATCTGCACTTTCAGCCGTAGAGGGATTCAAATGGTGTTGCCTTTATGCTCGTGTGATAACTGTTGTTGTAGGAAAATTGGACTAGGGGTAAATGGGTATCCCACGCTTTTCCAAAGTCAATTACACAAGAACGCAACATATCTTCTAAAGTCTGGATTGTCCTCTCACTCTGTCCATCGGTCTGTGGATGGTAGGTTGTGCTCATGTCACTACTAGAAAAACAGCCTTTTACGACGCTCATTGCGTGTCGTAAAAGGCTCAGACGACGCGAAAATGCGCGTTAAGGAAGGCCCTGTCATAAAGAGAGACGATGCGCATTTACGATGCTCATTTATGACGCGCATTTACGACACGCAATGCGTATCAAGGAAGGCCCTGTCATAAAGGAAGATGACACGCATTCGCGTGTCGTAACCTTACGACGCGCGTGTTAATGACACGCAATGCGTATCAAGAAATCCCTTGTCAAGAAAAGCCATGTCATAAATGAAGATGACACATATTTTTGCGTATCATAATTTTAAATGTTAAAAAAAATTTACTTATAGATTTAACTATTTTCAAATTAAATTTGTATTTAATGTTTCATAATAGAAAATAAAATATCATATATAAAAAATAGAATCCATTGAATAAATTTAATGTCATATAATTCTATTTCTTACAATATATAAATTTGCATCTAATCTACTATGTACATCAAGTTCCAACTAAGTAAAGTTGCATCTTGCCTTTCATAATTCTTTAAAACTAATGTTCCAAACAGCTGATTATATGGATATGCAATTGTACATTGACCCATCTTACTCAATAATGACTTAGCCAAATTCAACTCCAAGTTTTTACTGCATCTTGCTGATAATGCTGCAAGATTTAAATCAAGTGGCTTCATATTCCTTTCTTCCATCAACTTTACCTAATGCACAAAATACATAGAAAAAAAAACATTGTAGAGGAAGGGGTAATTTGGGAAAATGTGAGGGGTATAATATAATAAGAATGCAAATACTTAATACCACTTTCATGCCGTCATGGAAACCTGTTGTGCATTACATAAAGGCCCTACACCAACACAAGGCTTTTGTTTGATTATGATCCTCAGCTGTTAAACCAGATACAAAAAACATGTGAGAAGAATAAAACTAGATGTAGATGAAACTTTAAAAGAGGTTGATCCATCACATTACATAAAGGCCCTCCACTACCTTAAGCAATATTTGTAGAAAAAGTACTTCTTCAAGGCTAAGGTTGCCTACATAAACGGTTGTGTACTGATTACTCTTAATTTGAGAAATTTTTCAGAGACAAGTCCATCATTTTCAGCAATTGACAATTCCTGGACAACTTTTTCAAGTCCTTTGCTAATAGCTTGCATTTCTTCTGCCAAATATTTTAATTGTACCTGAAAAATAATAAATAATCAATAAATTCTTAATTACATTTACACATGTTTTAAATTTATAAATATTTGAATAAGATTAATTGTGATCACCACCCTTGATGCAAGTTCCAGACTGTCAAGATCCTTGGAGAAATCAAGGAGTTCAGGTAGTTTGTCAACAAGCACCTAAAATTAATTAATTATCCACAACATTATCTTGCAATTTTAAAATTTAATTATTTTCCATACAACATATTAATCAAATCTGAACCCAATCTGAACCCAACAGCAGAAGGCTATCCAATCTGAACCAAACAACAACGCCTAAAATAACACCAAATTAATCAAAGTCAAAGTTAAAGTCAAAATCAACTATAACAAAATATTATTATATTTAATAACATAAAATAAACAATGAAAATATTGACCTCTTGTTATTCCTTGGTTCAGAGCATTTCCAAGTGTGACAATTGTTTGCATTACTCTCTTGAACTTATAGGAACTTCTGACCCGATAAAAGTTTAATTAGATTAAATTGTTGGATTCGTGAATTGAATCATAACTATGCTACTGTTATAGCAAGAAATGTTTATCTGGGTGCTATAGTTGAAGGATGCTTCTCCAAATGGAAGGTAATTTAGAGGGTCGAAGGAATCTACTTTTTGATTAAAAGACCAAAATACCCTCGTTATATATATATATATATATATATATATATATATATATATATATATACACACACACACACACACAATACATTGAAATAAAATTTTCTTTTTTAGTGGTGAGGGCAGAGGGCTTGAACCAAAGTTATCTGTACAAAATGTTGGTGGGCCTCCTAGTTATGAAGATGCTGTGAGTGACGGTCATAGCCCTGTTGATACCAAGAGGTAAATTAATTAATTAATAAGTCAAAAGATTTATTTGCTTATAAATTGTAATATATATATATATATATATATATATATATATATATATATATATATATAATAATGGAATCTAGTCTAACTTGTAAGCATTTTAAGGACTGGTGAACATTAACCATCAAGAAATTCCAGTAGTAGCTGCTCCACCACCACCAGCTGCCGCCGCCACATTATCTCCAGTTACCACTACGCCGCCACCACCTACAGTGACAGTCAACAATGAAAACGATGGGTTTGACTTTTTTGATCCTCGTCGTACTGCTCCTGCTCCTTCCCTTGCGTTTTCCCCGCAAGGATCAGATGGTGTAGAGATGGAGGATTTGTTTGGTTCTCTATCAGAGTCTTTCTCTTCTTCAAATGCTTTGGCTCTTGTAACATCTACTTCATCTATAACCACTGAAGTTCATCCTCCAGCAAATACTAATCCTTATCTCACCTTCGATACCTCATCGACAAGTCGGGTGCGTGAGTGTCTTAAAAGCTGGATTCTACTCACATATATTGATAGTTTGTTTATATTGTAAATTTACACTCTTTATGCATTGATTGCAGGCATTTGATGATCCATTTGGTGATGGTCCTTTCAAAGTTGTTCCTTCTACTGATGGATTTTCGGCTTAACCACCAACATCACCCTTTACTACAACTACTGCTGAACCACCATCATTTTCAGTTGACCCAATGTCAGGGTCAGGGGGATTTGGGGATACTTTTGATTTTGATTCAACTGTTGACATTTTTAGCTGATATATTGCCTCCACCTGGACCCTCGCAAACTGCTTTTCCTTCTCAAAATGGTCAAGCATCAAGTCTTTCAGTAGAACCTAACCATACCACATTTCCTTCAAGTTTTTCAACTCCATTTGGCCAACCACCTACTTTTTCATCACAAGCACAAGGTGGTCAACCTTTTCAACCTCAAGCTGCCCAATCTATGCAACACCCAGCTTTTCCACCTCAAGGTGTCCAGCAGCAGCAGCCTATGCCACAGTTAGCTTTTCAACTTCTAGGTGGACACCAATCTTTGCCATAGTCAGCTTCTTAATTTCCAGGTGTCCAGCAGCAGCAGCAGTTGCCACAGTCAGCTTTTCAAAGAGATCTCTTATTCTTTACGTATAGCCAGCATGAATATTAATGTAGCATATGAATTTTAAATAGCAATACCTGCTCCACATTATTAAATTACTGGAAATGACATGGAGCATTATGAAGTGGGGCCTCACATCTTGAAATTCGAAATGTGTTTGTGGGATACAAAGCCTGGATAGAATCGCTTGCAATTTAGTCCGTCATTAGAATATTTTTTCAAAGTTGTAAATCTTGAGAACAGAGCTGACATAAAATCATAAACAAATATATATAGTCATCCTTCCTGCCAAAGAGTTACCTTTAAGTACATTAGACCCAAAGAAATTATAGCCTCAAGTGCAGTTACATCTATATTGATCTGGGTTCCATCCATCATCTGCAAACAACAGAAAAAAAAAACAGAAAATTAATGATAAAGATAGAAAGGGTAATCAACTTTCTAAAAAAACAACGAAAAAGCACAACCTGACCCGAACCACGATTGTGGTCATCCATTGATCCGTTGGAGAGATGGGATCTTTCCTGAGAAAAGGCAATTTAACATAAAAAAAAAAGTCATCTACATGAAATATTAATTCTAGTCATCTTTAAAGTTTAGGGTGTATGTGTGTGTGTGTGTGGAAAAGATACCTGGACTAGGGTGGATGCGATCAGCCTACCGCCTACTGTTTTGCTGAATGTAACCCCAACAAACATATGATATTAATTCTCACTGAAATTGAAACAAGAGAAGAAAATATTTACATTAGGAAAAAGAATAATCACTGCATTTTAACAATGGAGAACACAACCTTAAGGATGTATTTTGCTCGATGGAGCCTTCATTGTTAAAGGAAGCTTGCAGATACCCTACAAAAGAGATATTTTTGAAACATAAGAAAATTATAGGCATATTAAACATGGCTGTTGAAGGGATCCATAGGTGTTTGGAACAATAATCATATCCCCTAACCTGCCAAATAAAATCTTTTCCCATCTGTGTTGACATCAAAATCTAAGTATAAACGACAACATATGTATATAATCAATAGTGTTCATAATGATATTAAGCAACAAAATTTATCTATCAGACAGCTTAGAATGGGACATACCATCAACATAGAAATCAAGAATCCTCGAATCATCAGTTGTCATGAGTGACCGATATGAAGGTGGAAGTGCATGGGCACAACAAGAGCACAAATTAGATAAGATCTTGAAAAAAACCAGATCAACCAATGTAACCAAGTTTATAAAAAAAAAATTTAAGAACATACCTAGTTTCACCTAACAAAATTTAGTTTAACTATTGCTTAGTTGTGATAATCTACAGCCTGAAAAGAAGGAATGCTCACAAGAACGATCATTAGTTACCATCTCCAACAAATTAAGAAAAAGAATCCATACAGGCTTGACCTGTATGCATTCGAGTTCAAGGTGTGATTAGGTATCATATCACTTGGTCTTGTCTACATCAGGTAATCTTATAAGGTATGAATTATTTAAGATTTTTCTTTTAAGCATTTCTTCGAACACTTGGAGTGCATAGCTCATCTCCTTCCTTTTCTGCAAGTTCCCAGAATCTAGGGTTTAATATTCTATTCTCAAAACATATGTTCAATATTATCAATACAAGCAGAAAGTAAAGAGACCACAAGAACATAGAAAAATACTTGCTTACTTTTTTTTGAAAGAGCAAAGGACCGAGAATTTTTAGGTAAGGATGATGACGATGCGTTGGCTGTGAGCATATGTGAGCAACATAAATAGGAAAATGAAGGCTGAAAAATTAAATCTAGCTAGTGTTTTCAAACACATTTGAACCTAAAAATTGATTTCAGGGGCAATCTTGCGAGGATTTCGAAAAGGAGAGACTCAGTGAGGTTTTGAATATCGTATGAGAACGTATGAGCAAGGAGAACAAGCCCTAGAACTGATGATTCCGAAAGAGGGTTTACTTGTGTTGAATCGATTCAGAGTGTTTTCTCTTTCTTGAATAGGTGATGATCTGATAACGGTGGCTTGGAAATAAGTTCTGATCACCATCATCGTCGATGTGATTGCCGATTTGATTGATTGAATTGTTGGGTTCCATTTAACGGTGGTTTGAGGTTGGAAATGGAAATGGAAAGAGCACCGCCAAGGAGATTGGGGAGCGAAAGAAGAGAGAATCAAAGACGTTCGAAGTGTGGATTGAGTTTTTAGGGTTCAGTTTCAACTCAATTAGTAAAGATTCCAAAACGATTACAACTCCCTGTACCCCACTCAATAAACAAAACCATTCAAATTCTTGAGTTTTGTATGAACTTTTCTCATGAATGATGTTCACGTCGTCGGCTCCAAATCGCCATAATCATGCCGATATCCACAATCGTATACGTTTGTTGTTTACAAATCTGTTGTTGAACCCTGAATAATCGATCTAGGTATTCCCACCGCTGAAGATGAAGATGAAGGTCCTAGGGCTTTTTCTTGCTAAGTAGAAGGGGCGGGGGATTAATTTTTGGGATACAATAGGCGCGGGTAATTTTAATCGATTTCATTTCCCGCCTAAAACGCTTGTTTCACTTAAAAATTATAAAGCAACACACTTACATGACGCACAATTTATGAAAGGTGCCCTCCGCATTTTTTTTTCTTTTCTAACACCAATTTTAGGGCGCGTACAAATGCGTGCCCTCTATCCTTCAAATTTTGCAAAACTGAAATTATTTTTTAGGGCACTTACAAATACGCGTCCTCTATCAACGAGTGTCATTGTTTGCGTGTCATTAAAGGGCTTTTTTCTTGTAGTGCTCTAGCCTTGTTCATAGGGAATGTTGTAGTGATTGCCAGAATCTTGAGGTGAACCTACTATCTCTATCGGAGATAATTGATATAGGCACACCATGTATCATTTTGCTCCCAAGGATCATCCAAGAACACTCATATCTTCAAGAACACCAAGAACAACCTTCATATCTTCAAGGGGCTGAAAACAACAGCAGAACCAAAAACCTAATTTTGGCCGAAAACCTGTGTTCGGCTGAAAACTCCTCTGGACCAAGAACCTGGTTCTCGGATTGAGATTTGACCAAAAACCCTCCCTTTAACCTCAAACAACTCTTGGTAACTATTCATAACATAATACAAGTGTATTATAACACCTTAAATTAATGGTTAAGCTAATTTAAATACAATTATGTGTTTAATCATCATTAGGATATTGTTAATTCCACGTAAATCAGCTCGAGGGTCATCTTTCCAGTCTCGCTAACCAACATGTGCACAAACAACTGTGAGTTCATAACCCTACACTTTTACTGTTTTTAATGTTTTCAGGGGGAATACAAGTAAAACACAAGGATTTGGTGTTTATATGCAAACGATTTCAATAGATTAAAAACTTTTGTAATTGATACAACCCAAGAAACCATTAAGTTTTTTAAAAATATTTAGATATTTTTATCCCTTTTGTAACATGCTGAGCATAAGGGTGGTTTTCAACATACAACCATAACTGCAATGTTTTCAATACACTACCTAACATACAATCAAGCTATAGTTTATATAGTTTGGGAACAATACAAAACTTTACATAATTTATTACACGAAACGAGAACATACATACAAACTATAATAGGTATAGTTTGGGACACAATACACTGTTTTACTATTTCAAGTACATTATACAGAAACGAACACATATAAACTATGGTAGATATAGTTTATGACATACAATACTATTTTCCGAATACAAGAGTACAATACTAAATAATAATTTAAGTGCAATTATTTTTACTCTACAAGTTATACACACAATTTCAAGTACAAGAGAACACTACAACACTACACGTAAAGTAGTTAATACAAGGTTGTAAGGCACTACTTCAATTGTACCCTCCGGGGTGAGGAGCTAAATCCTACCATAGTATAACCAGAGTCACCTGTAGGGAGAGCGTGAGATTTGTGTATAGAACGTCGTAGAGGTAACTAGGTCATATCAAGCATGGTTATACCAAACTCACAATAGTATAAACTAACCATTTTTTACGGGATTTGAATTCTTCAAATAGTTTTATTTTAATTAACAGAAATACTATACAATACAACTCGAGGATTCTAGGGAATACAAACACATGGTTTTATTTAAATTAATAAAACTACTATACACTACTGGTGGAAACCAAGGTTTTTATATAGAACATACTATAAACTACTAGAAGTAACCTGGGATTACATACAAAAGTTTTCATACAAGAAAACATGATACGATACAATTGGTGATAACCAGGCATACATACTAATACTTTCATAAACAACTACATAATACGATAACGAACATACATTTGGTCTTAGGGTTTAAGACTACTTTACATTACTAAAGAAAATGTTGGATTTTCTTGAGAAACATACAAACATTTTCACAGATTCAAAGACAGGTTTTCCTTACAAAAACATTCTTATGAACTCACCAACTTAAATGTTGATACACTTTCAAAATCACTTGTATTCTCAGGGAATCGGTAGATAGGTGCACCCACAGGTTTTGAGAAAGCAGAGGTTTTAAAGTCGCATCTTTTATACTTTAGTTATACATTTTATTGTCATACAAATTATATATTGAACAGATGTAAATACCTTATTTATACAATGTAACGGTTGTATTTAATTTGATTACTATGATGCAATTGTTCTGATATTGTACATGACGTCCTCCGCCTCCGAACGTTTCCGCCATTCTGGTTTTGGGGTGTATCATAAATATTGCACCAAAAGTGCCAGACCAAGGAAGAGAGGAAACCCTCTCTACCTATGATTAATCGTACTTTCCAAAAATTAAGGCTTAAGGGATTAACCCTTATTTTTATAAAAAAAAATTTGAAATTACTGAACCCTTTAAAAAAAGTAAAAATTTTCAAATCCCTAAAACCCTAATTTCGAAAATTCCTTGGTGCAAAAAAGATTTAACCATATTACTTGGATTAAGTAGTGCTAATAACAATCAACCAATGGATGTGATGCCATTGTTGGGTTATAGGGAAGTTTAAACACATGATTCTAGTTGTGGAAGCATAAATACATATGTGTTCATACAACCTATGAAGATGTATGTTTCATTTTATTATAGCAACTACTAGATTAATAAAGAAAACATATTGCTTGTGCTTGTTGAGAATTACTTGATTGTGATCTTGTTATTGCCACCTTTCTTAGATGGTAGGACCCAAAGCAGAATTCCTCTTCCGTTTCACACTAAAAACACAACTAGAGTAAAGTATAGGAAACCTTATGAGAAGGAATGGAATTCAAAAAGTATAAACCCTGAAAAAAAAGTATTATTTTTTGTAAAACTTTAAGAGGGAGAAAGGGAGAATAAGTTTTCTAATGAAAAATATGAGCATCTAGGTTTTGTTTGTAGAGTCGAAATGTATTGTAATTATGTTGAGGGGGAGCATAATGATACCGAAACCATAAATCTTGATCAAAATGATGAATTTCATGAACTAAATGATAACAATTATGTTGGAGAATCCGAAAATGAAGAAATGTACGAAGATGCACCATTGGACATTGATCCAGCATATCCACTTCTGGAAAAATGGACAGGACATCATCCAAAAGAACAAGTCATTGGAAACCCACAAGATGGTGTTTTGACTAGAGCTCAAATTCGTGCAAAGAATGAGGTACTGAATACTCATCAAGGATTTTGCATGTTTAATGTTTTCATTTCGAAAGTAAAACCAATGACAATTAAGGTTGCAATGGAACACTCAGATTGGGTTGTAGCAATGCAATCTAAACTGACTGAGTTCGAAAGAAACAAGGTTTGGAGGTTAATTCCTAAACCTTAACATGTTTCGATTGTTAGATTAAAATGGATTTTAAAAAATAAAAACGACAAGGATGGAAATATTATTCGAAATAAAGCATGATTAGTTGTTAAAGGGTATTCGCAAAAAGAAGGTATCGATTATGAAGAAAACTTTTCCCCTGTCTCAAGACTCGAGGTTGTCCGAATATTTTTAGCTTATGCAGCTCATAAAGATTTCGACGTTTATCAAATGGAGCAGAAGTGTGCATTTTTGAATGGAGACTGTTTATGTGGAACAACCTCCAGGTTTTATTAATAAAGAATATCATAATCATGTTTAAATATTAGATAAAGTTCT